TGAATGTGTCTACTTCAGTTACTAAATTTGACCAAAATAAATGAATAAACAAACACACAAACAAAGAAATAAACGGCGCAAGCTAAATGAAACTGAATAGGCGAATCCTTGAATTCAACAGCAATACATCGGTAATGCGTTTGACAGATTTTAGCGAGCTGTATGGCCCGGAAGTGTTTTAATATTGCCCACCCAGAACATGAGGACAATGACCATTGTAGTCATTGCTGATGGCAAAAAAAATGCTTGGCACTTAGAGCAATATAATATCTAGAGAGTGCTTTCCTATTTTTATGTTGACTAAAACGTATACACGATTGTTGGTTGATATCCAAAATTCTGGCACCAAGCGCCCCACAATTACTGAACAAATTGAGAATCATCACAGAGATCTTCCAGGTCAGTGAAATTTCTAGATGCGAAAAGCGTCTAGAAATGCGCGTTTCGCATCTAGAAATAAAAGTGTTTGTGGAAATTGTGTAGGTATTCATTATCATGAAGGTGTGCAATGTGTGAGATGTATGGCCTGACAGTACCTAGTGATCTCAGTGAATGAGGTAATCTTTGAGAAACATCTCGTTTGTTGAGGTAGTTTGGTGGTTTTTCAATTTCAATAGCTTCGCGTATTATTCTGGCCTGGAGAGTTTTGGTAACATAAGAGTTTGAAGGTTGGTCAAAAGAAGAAAAAGTTGTATTCATAGAAACACTGTCGTCAAGTGGTTCGAACAAATCGAGAAATCAGGGCCGGTTCTTGAGAACGTTATTTAAAAAAATATGAAAAAATATTATGGGTATTTTTTATTCGATAGTAATTTTTCCTCACATTGATGTATTCAGATTCCGAATCCAATCGGATTCGTACTCTCTGGGGCATCTCAACCTCATTTTTTTCAATTCGAGCCTGCATATTTTATGACACTTTTCGAAATAACTTTTCACGCTGAATTCAACGATATATCATACAATGTTAATCAATTGAATTTACCTTTGGTGAAATTAGTGGTATGCAATACATTTCGATAAGAAAATCAACTCACTCATATTGAACTAAATGAAATTTATCATAATCAGAGCAATAAACAAGTAATACTTATTTACAAGTGGAGAAATAGTTATTTATGTATCAAGGGAATTAGGAGGGCCTTAATTACCGATGGCAAAGTTTGCGTCCCGAGGGCCTCTGGCCCGAGGGACAGCAATTGCCTGAGGTTATTAAGGCTCATTAATTCCCGTGGTACATAGATAATTTTATTTCTGACCGATTTCAATAAAATTTTGTTCATTTTTGAAACGGAAAAATGTACCAATTCATTACCTTCCCGGTATATTTGAATCAGGTACCGTTGATTATAGTAGAGTTTTCTTGTTGCTAGGTTGTTGCTATGTTACTTGTTTATAAACAGAACTTTGTTATCAAGCTGTGTTTGCGGTGAAAACGTGTTTTCTACCCCAAATATAATGGAGG